TTTGTTTTGGTTTAGTGGGATTTTGCATGAAAATAGATGATATGAGTGTGATTGTTTTGTTGAATGAATCCATACTTTTGAAAATATTGGAAGTGCTAATTGGAGTCTAAGATTGGAATGGAAATCTTTGAGAAAATTTTTCGATAAATCCAACCCTTTACCTTCAATTTTCTTGAGTTTTAGTTTGCTTGAGGACAAGCAAAAGTTTAAGTTTGGGGTTGTGATGAATCCACACTTTATAGATATTTTATTTGATTTTTATAAAGTTTTAATAGAAAAAAATAGATTTAGAGGCTGTAAATAACATTAAAATCTTATTTAGGTAGAAAACAATAGCTTTCTTAATTTTTGTCTTATTTCCATTAATTTTTGTGAATATATTTTGCAATTTTGATCATTTGAATAATTGTGCAGGGAATTCTAGACAAATTTCATGAATTTTTGGCTCTTTGAAAAAAATATGAACTGAGAGTAACTACTATCAGATACCAGAGTAATCACTCCAGGGAGCTGGTTTCAAGGGATAGGCCAGAGTAACCACTTTCAGATATCAGAGTGATCACTCCAGAAGCCCCAGACCCCAAGTGTCCTGCGCGTAAACACTCTCAGAAATGAGAGTAATCACTCCAGAAAGGGAGAAAGCTAAAGTTGCTGCGCGTGTTTACTCTCTTGTTTTACAGAGTGATCACTATGGGGCCATGTCAGACTTAGTATATATAGACTTTTAGAAATTAGGGTACGGGATGCAATTTTTTCCTTAGATTCTTTTACCACTTTTGGAGCATTTTGCAGAGCTTAGGGTTCTTGGGTGACAGCCAGGGATCCATTATAGGTTTTAATTTCTAATTTCCCTTTGATTCTCCTTGATTTTACATTAATGTTGCTTACGTTTCTACATTCTCTTCTTTCATTTGTGAAGCCCATCCATATGGAGGGCTAAATTCTCTTGTAATTCCTAGTCAACTCATATGGTTCTTGAATTCTTTAGTTTAATGGCAATATCACTCTTTCTTTCCTTGGATTTATTAACCCCAATCTCTGAATGAAATGAAATTTGCATGAGGGGAACATTGCTTAATGAACCCTAAATTAACCAACAAAATTCTAATCTAAAATTGCTTAATTTTGATTAATCTTTGAGATTGCTTAATCTTAGGGATAGAGAATTGGAGCCCATTAAGATGCTTAATTTTAATTGGGATACTAAAGTTAATTTTCGCTTGTTAGATTAACTTAATTCAAGGGAAAAATAGAGGATTATTGAATCATTTGAAAGAATAGGGATAGAACTCATTGATTGACTAGGGATTACTCTTTTTAATTGATTGAATTTCATTAGTTTACATTCTGTTCTTGATTAAAATCTAGAAATTGACAAACCTCCCCCCAATTTACTTGCTTTAAAATATATGTTTACACTTGTTCGATGTATGTTCCCAACCAAAAGTTCCTTGGAGATAACCTAGGACAACACCCTAGTATTGCATTTATATCTTGCATATTTGATGAGGATTAACGACAATCTTTGTGCATAACGAGTAGTGAAAAATCGTTCCATCAGTCGCTTATACATAATTACTTAACAGTCATGGTTCATTAAGATAGTGGCCGACTTGTAGTAAAATTGAGTCAAAAGATGAATATGTATTCATTTGCCAAATGGATTGCAAAAATCGGGCACTATTGGCCTGCGATCAACAACAAAGAAAAAGAAATAGCTAATCCCTATTTGGACCATGCCTCGTAAGGACTTCCTCATCAGTAGCACTTTGAGCTTGGTTTGGTGCTTCGGCGTCGGGCTCCATCTCTTCATCCACCTCTTCATATGGTAGAAATTTACTATCAAAGAAATCTCTTGACATATCAAAATTAAAGTGGGCAGGGACTTGACAGAATTGAAACGATTGGCGCATGGCATGTCTGAAGCCGACCTCATGCTCTTCCACGAGTTTTAAATTACACTCGTCGGTTAATGCCTTTAGCTCCGCTTCAAACTTCTGCTTCTCGTGATCCAAGGCCAACTTTTGGTTTCTAGCTCTGCACACTTGGCCCTCAGAGCCTCCTCCGCCGCTTGCATTCGACTCTCCAACATGTGGAAGTGCTCCTTCATTTCGACAACTTCCCCCTCCAGCAATCTGTTGGTCTCAGACAAATTTGACCAAATCTCTTCGCTCTCTGTGAGGGTATGTTTGATGCTAGCGAGTCAGCCTTAAACCCTCTCTAACTCTTGCAGCGGTTCTAAAGCGAAGCTCCGGGCCATCACCATGGCTCGAGCCTGAAATTAACAATACCACTGCCAACGCGTCTGGTGATCTTGATTATTTACAAGTGCACGTCCCTCCTCTAATAAATGGTCAGGACAAAACACTCGGTTGACCCAAAACCCCTCGGCAAAAAAGGACTCGATCACGGAGGCAGTTGGAACCACTGTTTGAGCTGACAAATCTCCCGATTGCTTGCACTGACATGTTTATGCCTTTTTCCCTTTTCAGGCTCTTTCTCCTTACCCTTGTCCTTCCTCTTCTTGGGTCTACCCTCGGCAAGGGAAAAGTCCCGAGGAGGGGGGCGGGCCTCGGTTATAGTCAGAATTTGATCTATAATCGAGTGTTGATGATCAGCAGCAGAGGTGCCCTCGGGAGCTTTTAGCTTAAGACCTTTCCAGTAGCCTAAGCCGGATCCTCTTTGTGCCATTATATCTACAATAGAAATAAGAAGTCAAATCAATATAAACCAATATTCAAAGTCCAAACAAAAATGCGAAACATATTGTCCATGTCCAACCGAGGTTGGGGAGACTTCAATAACAAAATAAAAGACCGAACAGGGAGCTCCCTCGGAAGTGTCTTTATATACTCCAAAGCCGACAACTCTTCCGCTGATAACATCTCCTCGGGAAAAATATCATACCTACGAGGTACTCGGGTCCAATGGAAAGGAAAAAGCGGATTGTCTTCGCTATCAAAAAAGTAGTTCCTACCTACAGAGTGTACAGTTACCTTGAAGTAACTGGTCTTGAAACCCTTGAAAGAGGAAGTGTAGGGTTTGAATAAAGGCATGTCAAGCTGCCTTATCAACGACACGCACCTCGCCCTTTCCGAAGGACGAGTACAAAAGAAATGAAGAAATAAACCTACATCAGGCTCAATGTAATGAAATTTACATTAAATCCTAAAGGCCTGAATCGCCGCCCACCCATTCGGATGGAATTGTGTCGGCGCTACTTTTAAAACCCTCAACACTCCCATTTGGAAGTCGTCAAAGGGAAGCCTTATACCTAATTCCTTAAACATATATTCATACACAAAAAAAGTGTTAACCATCCCAACACCTTCTCCTAAAAACACAAAGTCGGGGTTGTCTAAGTCTTCGCCGCGACAGGTACTGATAGTTATCGGATATGGATCTGACGCCTCCCATAACGATATATCACAATGATCGACAAAAGACTGGAGACTGCTATTCCTTTGAAAACGCGAGAAGTAGGCTGCCACTTCACCGTGAACCTACTCATATCCAAGAATCGAGTAAGGGGGGAATGTTGGCCTTTCCTTAGGAGGGCTAGCATTAGGCAACGATTGAGTGGAATCCGAACTATCAGCAACACCAGACGATTCAACTCCCTCATTACACTCCCTTACCATATCACCATCCACCCTACTTGGTCTTGAAGAAATCTCCCCCTCTTCGATTCTTCTAACATTTTCAAGCTCACCAACAGTAGTCGGCATCGATGAGTTTGACAGAGAATCCTCCCATTCTACGGACTCGGCCATGACAAGGAACCAAGGAAAAGATTAAAAATGATGACTAAAGCGTACCTTACAGTTAGTGGAAGAAAGAAAGCAAGCTTCCAAGAACAATGAATACGCCTCAGTCTAGAGCAACAGTATATACCCCTCGGTTTAGAGCAAGCAAGCATGAAGAGAAGTCTGGTCCACCACGAATTTATAGAACTTGTAGCTTCGGGCATGTAAAGGGTCGTGCCCCTTCTAGACCGACAGATCCTCTCCAGATCTGCGGCTAAGATCGAGCACCCTTTCGTTTCGTACACACTTCGAGGAAACTCTAAAAAATCTGAAATCCTAATGTGATCTTTACTAAACTGACTACCCTGGGGTGTAGGCTCTTCGATAAGCCAAATACCTATTTGGTCAATCGACCGACACCCTGCTTGGTTTGGTTATGTTAATTAAATCGAGTACCCTCTCAGTATACCTGTTTTCTCTCGTTGATACCCCCAAGTTAAAGTATTCCTCACAACACTGATCACTTCAGAAAAATGAGTGCTTCCTCGCCTAGATATTCTAAGAGTATATTCCCGTTAAGCCCTTGCCTCGTATCTCTTCATGCTTGGGGGGCTAGTGTACTGGATAGGACGCTCCTTAGTCCTATCCATCCCTCAGATCTACTAGTAGGAAAAGGTAACCGAGTACCCCTTTGGCCTAACATCGCCAAAATCCCCATGTCAGGATTAAAAGGTAATTAATTCAATCAGCAGTAATTAACATATCATCATCTAATTTAATTAAAGGGCCAAAACTATAGCTGACTCAGCAAGCCCATTAGCCCATGACAATGCCTATAAAAGGAAGGTAGACAGTACAGGTAAAGGATTGACTTCAATATTAAATAACATTTATTACTCATAATCGAATCCTGACTTCAGTATCGGAGTGTCTTTTACAAGTACACCTCCACGTCAGACCACGTTAGACCACATCAACAACAGTCAGAGTGGAGATCCGAAAACTAGTATTTCTTTAGCAAGAATAGTTATAATTAATTATTAATTATTTGCTGCTGTTATTGTTAACTTTCTGGTGTATCCTTTTAATTTTTCCAACAAATTTAAGTGTGTATACGTCTATCTCACCACACCCTCTCGGACCAGTGGGGAAGCTGGAGGTGAGGTTCGGCACAAAAGTTGCCGACTCACGGTAAAAGGTGGCTCCTGATAGATCAATAATATTTCAAGCATGAAGAAAGAACAAAATGGGGAATTTGAAACTAAAGGATGTTTATATTACTGCTTATAAAAGAATGAATCCTTGATTGAAGCATTAAACACAAGAAGAGCTTTTGTGGCTATATACTAACGGATGGAATAAAAATGTTGTGGGAACAAAAGGAAAAAAATAAAAAATAAGAGCACTTGATATTAAGCCTGCTATAAGAATCGATCATTCCAGAGCTGATCTTGTCACTTCATATGCCAAGAAGCATGCAGCATTTGCTGGAACACTTCGGGCCATTGCAGGACCAAAACCCTTATACAAGCCTTTGAACCCCTCTGAAGCTCTAATCTTTCTGAAAGCATCAAATGAACCAGAGAACTTTGGGTTTCTGTAATCATCTACTTGAATCACACTCTTAATAACATCAGTTGGGTAAACAACGAACCAAAAGGAAGCTCCAGCCAAGCCTCCAGCAATAATCAGAGAACCTCTACTAAGGCCAGAAGTATCGGTGCCTCCTGCAAACCTTTGCTTTAATGCTTCATATACACCAAACATTATAGCATTTCCAGGTATCTCACGCCCCATAGTGGGAACCAAGCCCTTCAAAAGACCTCTCATGCCCCCTTCAGACCTGAGAACGTGCCTGGCCACATCCATGGGTCCTCCATACTTAACAGCCACAGTAGCTGTTTCAGAGCCAGCAAGGGCACTTTGTGCTTGCAACCTGATGGTATTCACCATGAAACAAAAATTTAACCATAAGATCAATACGTATTTTGAGTGTCTATGATATCTAAGTAACATATGAGAATTTAAAGCGAAAGGTAATCGAGATTAATATGCAGCTGGAAATTATTCAGTTTATTCTCATATCTGATTTATGTAAATTGGGAGAAAAGGGTCAAGTTTGTTGAAGATATGCAATATGAAAATAAATAAACATAGAGAAACAAACAAAAACATGTACCATAAACAATTATTTACATGCTAGCTAAATAATCACTCAAAATTTATAGAAATTGATAGAAAGAAAAGGAAAAAAATGATATTAAAAGGGTTGTGACTTGTGACAAGAAAAACACCATCAGACCTGCATTTGATCAATTCAGTTGGGCAAGCAAGAATGGAAACAGCGACTCCAGCTCCAGCTCCACAAACTACCTGTTGATTCACTGTGAGGGGGGCACCAGGATGGGACCTCACTATTGTTTCCATCTGTCCCCTCACTGTAAACAGGACAGCATTGAAGGCTGCTACTGTAGCAAGTGGAGCACCCATACCTTTGTATAAGCCCCTCGGACCTTCAGCTGCTAATGTCTGCTTGACAGCATCAAATGCGCCTGAATATTTGGGAGGCTGACCAGGGAGTGGAGCAGGCTGGCTTTGGAGCTTCACCTTGATGGTGTCAAAGGGGTGTCCACATATCAACTGTGCTGCCCCTCCGACAGTCCCAGCTGTAAGGTCCTTAGCCACATCTCCCATCTACAAAATATATATTCCAAATAAAGAGGGAAACAAAGGATTTAGACAAAGAAAAATTCAGTGATGTTGATACACCTTTACTATGGCATAAAGGTGTGATCCTTGACAAAACAGCCCATTTAAACAATGCAGGACAAAAATCCATGGATTAAGCTTTAGTTTTGCAACAGATCAAACAGGATTTTTATTCTTTCAAAAACACAGTCCCTTAGAATCTTTGTTTTCCTATTGGAAGTTTCATATCCTTATACATATATGTCAGATGTTCAAGGAAAATAATCCTTTTCCAGTTACAGTTAGTTCCAACAAGAAAGCTAAACTTCACATGATAAGATATTGGAAATGATAATCAGCAAGCGCATTCTCTTTCATAGCCATCATAGCTCGTCTAGTAAATTTAGGTTAAAAGGAATTGTTTTCTTCTATTAGGACTAAATATCATACAGAATATATAATGATATCTAGACTAATTAGAAAACAAAATATCTCCCTACCCTAGCTTGTAATCCCTTAAGGGATTTTCCTAATTTATTGCCTAAAATGCTCTTTTTAACCCCTTGTACTTTTGGTCTTATGTAATTTAAACGTTTTGAGTTTTTAAATTGTGCAATATGACTCCCTATATTTACCAAATTGTACAAAGAAACTCTTCGGTTATTGAGACATCCAATCTCACAATTAACTCTCCTTGTGCTTCTTGCATGCATATTGTTGAACAAAAATATCCATATTTTAAATCCAATTTCTACACTCAATTCTTCGGAAGCTTCATCAAGGGGAGATGAATCTTCCACCATTCCTGTCAAACCCCCAATTGCCATAGACCCTTTTTTCTTATATATTTTCACATCACATGTATCCTTAATCATTTCATCATGGTAAAATGCTTTTCATCTTACTAAATAATATTCACCATGGATGTTTTGGTAACACTTTGCTATAAAGATTCTTGAATTTGGGTTTAGTTGTTAAGAAAATTGGGAAGGAAGAATGTTTTGTTAAATGGGTCTGTTGAAATTGCTGATTGGTGGTTTTCATTTATGAAGTTGCCTCGTTCTTTCTTTTATTCGATGTTGTGTTGCTGTGGATATCCTTGTTTGGTAGCTTTGAAAATTGGGGAAGAGATTGTTCTTGTGGTTGAAAATCTTCTGTTTATTGGGTTAACTGAAATTAATGATGAGGTTTTAGATGATTGTTTTACAACCAATTGTAAGCTACAGAAAACCAGAGTAATTTGTTGGTCAAGCTGTAATAGGTGAAAGATGACACCTTCCACACTCTTTTGCCTATATACAGTGTCTACTAACAAACAAACTGACTAAAGTGTAAAACATGAGTAAAAATAACTTCCGAATATAACCATCCGTTAGATTCAGAAATTTGAAGTTATGGAGGCAACAGATAACATATAAATTGGTAGATTGAAAATATAACATATTATTATCAAAAGTGTAAATATACATCATAGTTGTTCTTTACGAGTTTTCATGTTTTGGAAACTTTGAATGATTTTCTTATTTTTAATATTATCAAAAAGCTGTAATATTTTTCTTGCTTTTAATTTAAAACACTAAAAGCCTTTATAGTTATAAAAACAGCGAAGTATTGCTTCTTTACATTTACTTTCTCAAGCAAAACAGAACTTATTTTACATGCAACCACAATCAATATCTCCTATATAAATCATATATAAAAAAAAGTCAAAAAAATAAAAGGTTTAGTTCACTAATAAAGTTGTTTTTCTATTTTTCACATAAATTCTATTTGAGACACCGTCGAACATTAAGTGTGTTTGAGAACACATTAAAAAATTTGTAAAAGTGGATCCAACACAAAGGCTATAATTAGTGATGCTGAAATAAACGTGGATCCATAACCATCAAACATGAATCCGAACAAGCACAAGGTGCAAGTGCCTCTATGCGGGGATTTGAATTAAATACATAGACAGAAAACAAAAATCTTCAAAATAACGACAACAGCTGCTTAACAAGAGACCTAGGATTTAATAACAGTCAGTTCATCTTACTATTGCCCAAAATTACAAGGGATAAAAAATACTAGCTGTTGCGGAATTCTCCCATACCGCAACAGCGTGACGATGATCATGAATGGAACACACAAGTGAGTGATGATCATGTGATTGCAAAATAAATAAATATGAAGAAGAAAGAAATAGCGCGTAGAGGTACAATAGTATTTTATTTTTACAATGAAACAACATGACGCCAGAACACACATGCATTATGAGGAATGGCACTCACACTTTACAAGCTATTCATCCCAATAACATTGAGAAAAGAGAAGTAGAGAAACTTTGTGACAAAGCCAGAATCATACCGAGCTCAAGCTGTCTCCCAAGGAATAAGAAGATGAAATGCAGAGTGAAAAAGGAACAAAATCCAACACCTTTTATTCAGAGTTAGTTGTGAGAATCTGAACTGAGAGGTATCGAATCTACGGTGAAACGAGTGAAAGAAAGGGGCAGGGGTGTGTGTTTGTGGTTAATGCTATGAGAAAAGACGGCGAAAGTAAATTGTGAAAAAAAAATAAAAATAAGGAGAATCGAATCTGAGGGATAGAGAACCACAAGAAAGCTAGAGAACGGACAAAGAAAAGAAAGCCAGAGAGAGAGGTGTGGCTGAAACGTGGATTTGTTGGAATTCTCAGCCACTCTCCACCTTCAGCGGATGATTGTTGTTTTTTATTAAATAGATAGACAAGTCCAACGCAAAGACACGTTGAGGCCGTTAGATTCAGATATGGACAGAGAAGTGTGGATGGGAGTGTGATGCCACATGCAAAAGTGTCAAGCCGAAAAGTTGTACTGTCAGGTTATATAATAAATAATTAATTTTTTCGACAAATGTTTTATTAAAACATAAAAAAAATATAATTATGAATTCTTCTTTTGTACATTTATAATTATGAACATGCTACTACCATTATTAACACTCAGTTAACATTTTTCTTTTTTATTTTTCCTATTGCATTATATTACCTCCGCTTAACTTCACTTTTAATCTCTCCATTTTGGACCCTGTAATTTGGCTTTTCAATTTTTTCTTAAAATTATGCAAATTTAATTGTCATTTTATTTTTATTTAAAATTCTTATTTTTTTATTTTTAATCAAATTCTTTTAGAGACTTGTATGAGATAAAAATAATAATTTTTAAAATTTAGAAATAAGAAATTTGATAAAAATTTGAAGGATTTTATGATATTAAGATTTCAATAAAAATAAATTGATATTTTTATTTTAGATTATATTTGTTGATGATTATTATTAATTTTGAGTAGAAGATAATTTAATCAATTTAGTTTATAAAAATTTAATTAAGAAACAAGAATTAAAATATTTGGTGATTGTTAGTGTGCTTACAAAATTTGAAAGATTTAAACATATTCATTATATATAAATTAACCAGGCATATTTAATTTTTACGTCATTAATGATATATTTTAAAAAGAGGTATTAAATCTTTTTTATCAATTGTTATAATTAAAAAAATAACCTCATAAGTATAAATTATAGATTTTTTTAGAATTTAAAGTTAATTTTGATAATTGTATTTTAATCTTTTCTTTTTTATTGTGTTTTTTAGTCTTCTTATAACTTTATTTGTCAAAAAAGATAAAATTAACAAAAAAAAATATTAAATTGTATAGCTTTTGTTTAGACATGCTTTTCAGGATGGAAAGAGAAGAAAGAAAAATAAAAAATTTATTTATAATTAACTCTTATTTTAGGAGCTGAGAAAAAAATAAAGAGAACAGTTTGAAAGTTTTTTTAAACATTTTACAATCTTTTTATTTATTTTTTGGATGAGGTTTTCTATAAATTTTTGTGAAATTCTTAATTTATCTTTTTGAAAATATATGTTAAAGGTTTTAGAGTCGTATAAGAGATATTTATATTATGGTCATATTCTTAGTGATCTTTATCAACTATTATGACCTTCCATTTTCTAATATGTAAGATAGGAAATGCTTCAGTTGTTATTCATATCTTAGATATAACTGTAAGAAGTATTTTTAGAACATAATTAATAATTAATATTTATTTATTTTGTTTGCTTAAAAATTTGAATAAGATAAATGTTATTTGAAATGTCTTTAATTCGGTTTATTATTTTTTCTTCAATTTTATTATTAAATGAATAAAATAGTAAAAAAATTATTCTTAAAAAAATATGATGTTAATTTTTAAGAAAAAAATAGCAAAAAAAAATAAAACAATAAAAATGTTAGATTTTAGAGTAAAGATTTATTAAAAAATTATAAAAAATATAAATATAAATTTTTAAAAGATTAATTTTTAAAGAGAAAAAAATATTTTTTAATTTTTTTAAATATATAAATAAAAAAATTTAAGAATATTAATATCATTTACTTGATTAAATATTTCGTAACTCTTTTATTTTAATATTAAACATCTAGACAAAAGATAGAGTTTAACATTTCTTCTCCTTTTTTCCCTTACCTTTCAAATTTTTTCTTTCCCACCTCTTTTCTAGATTTGACTAAAAACTTTATAAGAATTTTTAAATTAATTATGAAATTGATTAATCTCATATTTTATAAAATTATTAACTCATATAAACCTTCAACTTTGATACTTGGTGTAAATAGATTTGACTTGTATAAATATTTAATGCAAAATAAAAAAATAATAATAATTTTAATCAATTTTTCTATAACATTACAAAAATCTCATTTTAATCTTTAATTCTACAAAACGATATTCATTTTAATTTGTTTTTATATATAAAATGACAACACAACAATAACAATCATCAAGCATTATCCTACTAAGTGAGGTCGGCTACATAGATCACACAATGCTATTAAATTTAGTTAAAATCAAATTTTTAGAGATCTAGTTAATCAAAATGTCTTATTTAATAATTTTATCTAAAGTTTTCCTCTCTAAACTCCTTTTTATTGGATTGAAAGTCATACAATTTACTCTTTTTATCAATACTTTCAAAGATCTTTTTTACACATGACTAAACCATTATAGATGATCTTTACTCATCTTTTCTACTATTAGTGCTATTTTAACATTCTCTCATATGCTATTATTTTATCTTTTTTCGTGTATCCACTCATTCACATTAACATTTTCATTTTTGTCACACTCACTTTCTTTTTGTGATAATCCTTTAAGGTCCAAAAGTCACTACCATATAAAATAGTTGGTTATATTGTAATATGATAAACTTTCCAATCACTTTAATAAGTACTTTAAGCTCACAAATAATTTTTAATATCTTTCTCCACTTTATTCACCCAACTTGTATTATGAGTAATAAATTTATTAATATTTTCTTATTATTTTGTATAATCAATCTTAAGTACTTGAATCTAAATATTTGTGGTATTATATCAGCTTCAATTTTAACTTCCAACAAATGATCTTCATCTTGTTTTTTATTAAATTTACAATACATATACTTAAAACTCTTAGATTCAAAAGTCTTTCTCCAAAACTCAAGTTTGACATTAACTTTTCTCTTATTTTTAACTAACACTATATCATCTGTAAAGAGCATACACTGAAGAATAATCTTTTTGTATGTCAATTATAAACATATTTAGATTAGATTAAACAAGTAAGGACTCAAAGTTGAGTTTTGATGTAAACATATTCCTATTGAAAGTTTTTAAATATGTCTCCAAAAATTCTTATATATATAGTTATTCTCTCATATAGCCTAAATATATGATACACAAATTCTTTTCTTTTCTAAAATCTTCAACACTTCTCTTAGTACTTATTTTATAAATCAATAAAAATCATATATAAGTCATTTTCTTTATATAATACTTTCTATTATCTTTTAGAAAAGACATATAACTTTTATTATAATCCTTCCTAATATAAAATCAAATTAATTTTCTAGAATCTTAATTTCTTTTCATAATTTATGTTTAATCTCATTTTTCTACAATTTTATAGTGTAACTCATACATTTAATTCGTTTATAGTTTATACAATTTTAGATATCACTTTTTTTCTTGTATATAAAAACCAAATCATTCTTCCTCTGTTCATCTAACATATTATTAAATCTCAAAATAACAAAAATATTATTAGAATTAACTACTTTACTATTGTCTATAATCTTACGAGCTAAAATAATTCTTAATAGTTATATGTCAAATATCGAACATTCACTTGCACTTCAAGCCCAGCTATATTTCCATTTGCTCATTGTCCATCATTATTTAATATTAATAGTGCAAGAAAACTCATAACATAATTAAAAAATAAATAAAAATAACCAACTTATACAAATACTTATTTAAAAAATATTCTTAAAAAATTTCGTTTAAAAGTGAGATTCACATTTTATGTATGTAAAGGTAGATTGTCCAGAAAAATTGTAACAGAATAATACTGAACAATTATATCTCATTTTCCAATCCAACCAATGGGTATAATGACAGCCAATCAATGTGCAAAATGCTCAAAGCATACAATGCAAAGCCCTGCCCTTGACTAGAAAAGAAACTGCGTTTACACAATGGTATATCTTTTCCAAGTAATTCGAACTAAAACGAACTGAATGCGGGCAAATATATTCCTATCTTCATTTATGAATTGATTAATTTAATCCCGTGATCAAACTGCCCTGGGAAAAAAGGAATTTTCATTATACCAAAACAATGACATGTTATGGAAGCCAAACGATGGTGTTGGTGTTTACTACTAACTACTACTCGCCATGCTTCCGTTTCTTTAACTTTGCCATTCGTCTTCTCCGCTCTCTTTCCTCTTCCTCTTCAATTAACCTAAGTTGCTCCTCGTCCTCCTTTTTAGCAATTTTGGCACTGCACGTGTTTTGTATTACACAAAATCCATCAACCACGAAAATCTAATTACACAAAAACCAAAATATTTTATGCATGCAACTAAATTTATGGGAAGAAAAAGCAAAGGGAAAGAGGCAAGGATAAGCATCAACAAGTAAGAAAGGCTTTGCATTAGATCATAATTGAACTTAATCAACAAGTAATAGCAAGACTGAATGCATAAAAAAAGACATTGTTTAATTTTAATATGAAAGGAACGAACCTCCTCCTTTCTTCCCTCATAATTTCATCAAAGCCGGCCTCCATATCATCATCATCATCATCATCGACAAATTTCTTGGGGTTGTAACTGCAGTGGTCCAACAAATATCATAAATTCTAAATTGTAAGTAATGGAAGGAAAAAAGACACAAGCAGCCCTAATTTAAATATAATTTCACTGAAAACTTTTTGCTACCCAACACGTGACACCCCTCCTGCCAACTTTTGTCCAGCATGATAAAACAAATCACACAATTAAGCTGAATTTAAACATATGTATTTTGTAGTTTAAGGATAAATTCCTGTCAGCCATTTAAACTAATTTTTATTGAAAATTCCCCTCTTCCCCTGGGGTGACTTTAACATATATCTGTACTATAGTCAATGGGTGAATTCCAACATCAGCAATACAACCTACAAGCTTCAGTTATGTGGTGAAGGTAATTTGTTTGTCCAGTTGTAGGAAAGAGGTCATGCTTAAATAACACTCAGTTTTAAATATTTTTATCACTCCCAAAAAAAAAAAAAAAACAGAGAACACAGCATAAAAATCAACATTATCAGCATTTCAATTAGAACATAAAAATCTCACTTAAACATTGATCTGATCATGTTACTGATATCCATGTCATCCTCAGCATCATCATAGTGTCTTCTTGCAACCTTATGCTTGGGACGATAATCTTGTGAAGCAGTATGCATTGAATTTTGTTTAAGTGGCTTATTCATCTGTAAACCAAGTGAGCAATTTAAAGATGATGTATTTTGAACAAGCTAAAGGTAAAACTCCATAACATAAGGGATCAATGTACAAGTGTGCACAAGTACATAGCATGGCACCTGTGGTTTCGATGATGCCACTGGTTGTTTTGGTGTCATTTTAGGTCTATTCAGTTCTCGTATGTCTTTTCTTTGTTCCACATTTTGCTTTGGAATGGATGGATGGGCCTTTGAAGGGAGCGATTTTTGCATACCATTTACAGGGGTTTTTATACCAAGTGTTGAAGATTTATTCCCTGTGATACCAACAGAATTCTTTGAAGGCATGCCTTTTGGCCCAGCTGGCCGGCCTGGTCCATTGACACTGTTGTTACCGAGCTGTTTTCTAGAATCTGCAGATGCCATACTAGGTTTACTAGTTGAACTTGTCTTATAACTGGATCCTGATTTAGGAGGCAAATGGCCAGCTGCAGAACCTCTTTTCCTTTCTTCATGACTCGGACGAACAAGCTTGCTGCCATTGCTCAAAGGCTGTTGTTTACTCCTTGCTGGAACTTGAGCTGGTCGTCCCTCTTCAACATCAGCAAAAATCCTGTATAAGTTTCCTCAATTACAATAATATGTTTTAACCCAACATTCAACACATATAAACACATAGCCAAGAGCAATATACCAGAATTTCTTATAGGCATATTTCGTGGTGGGGGTGCTTTTGAAGGTGCTGGAAGCTCTGCATCATCAGATAAAAGAAATGAGTAATCTCTTGTGTTCTTGAGTTTCTGGGCTTTAACTTTCATCTGTATGAACATGGAAAAAACCATTTAGCGTACATAGATAAAGTCACAAAGCATTGTGAAAAACCAACACAGATAGCCACAAGACCTCATTAACTTTGGGTGGCAGATTATGAGATGAAGACTTTGATCCTCCATTCGATACTTTATTGTGGTTTTTCTTCTGCGAACAAGATTATTAGAGTATTTAAAAAAATATTCCACTGACAAAAATACAATGAAGAACACCTAACTGCTGCATATTCTCGGTACTCAAGCAAAACCCCATTCAAACTAATAATTAGGCCAAGTATTAATATAACTAGTACAAGCTCAGATCCACTTACAATGAGACAAATAACCTTATTAAAGATAAGAAAACACAGATGTAACAAAATCAGGGAACAAATAATAAATTTCATCGAGTAGATGACTAATTGATTCCAAAAGTTCTAAAAATATTGTATGATAATCTAAATATATCCCAAAACTCCTCAAGCAAAAGCTTACTAAGCTTTCAGGGTTTAGAGTTACAATTACAGCTACTAAACCCAAAAACATAAGACAAATAACACAACTCATTTAAATTAGAAGCCCAAGGAATAAGAGAACTTGGTACAGCCCATGTTCTGATGCTCCTAAACCTGTAACAACCCTGATTGACTGACATAATAGGAAATCAGGATGATAGTAACACCCAAACTTGGCACATCCCTGCTCCAACTGTAACACCCCACTCTGTTTCTGGTATCAGGTTAAGAATTATAGGTTTAGGTGCATTTGCCACACTTGGGTGCACTTACATGGACTGTAAAAACATTTTTAGGATATCTACTCAGATAAGTATTAAGTTTGGAATAAGGAGGCAGACAATAATTAAACTGAATATATTATTGACAGGATGTAATATGTTACAATATCCTAACCTAATACTCCCATTTAAACAAATAATTAGGTCAAGTGCTGATACTACAAGCCCAAGCCCATGTCTTGTCTCAGTCCACTACAACAAAACCAACCTTTAATCCAATTTTGAGTACTTCAAGTATTTATCACCAAGTATGCATGTGTTAGAAATTGTTAGCTATGTTCAGTGTAACGGCAATAGCATTTTTGGGGATGCTCCATGTTGTTATCTGGAATTAACTTCAGTGTCACAGCATGAATCACTGTCAAGGGATCTTCCCAAGTCACAATAAGGAAAATAGCATAAGGAGCTTGGCATTAAAGTATAAGTTTACTACACTACTAGATAAAAAAGAAAAAAATATATATTCATCACATCATAAACAAAACCTTATTTATGTAATCCTCTAATAAAAGGATGGCAGGCAAAAAATGGAAAGGAATATACTCAAACAATAAACAGGAGAAGTTTCTTATGTAACTTTTTTTTATTGTTTTATAGCCTTTATTTTAATTTGTTGTCACATTGAAAAATGGGAAATAAAGTTCCAATTGCCACAAGACCACAAATAGTCAAGTTAATGTGTTTGAGATTACTTTATAAATGAAGAGAATTATAATACTGCAAAATGAAGATCAATAATATTATGTAGAACTTCATACTAAAGTTGAAAAAAAATGCCAAAACAGAGATTCTGAATGCATACAATTTGATGTGGGTTAGAAACCCTAGATGCCAAATGCTTGTTTTCTAACATTGACTTGCTCTCCTGGATTACTCTCTGTGCGATTACTGGTTGAGAAGGACCGAAAAAGGAACCATAACTGCAAAAGAAGATGGAGACAATATTTTAACTATACCTGTTAGCAAATTTCAACTTACCAATGCAGTATGCCAAGCAAGCTCAAACTATATCAATGAAGAGAACAAAGCATGTATAATATATATCACCCACACAAGCCAAATGGAAAGAGAGTAACAAAATCCCAAGCCTTGCCAAAATCACAAATAAGAAAAACAAAATAACAGATCTTAGAAACTATGCAGAAATTGAACAAAAATGTAAGATTAAACTTCTAGCTATTACAAAAAGAAACGATTCTACACAACTTAAATAAAATATAAGAAGCTCAGTCAAAAGAACAAACCAATGGAGGGAAAATAAGGTAATAAATAATCTATCCCGATATTAAAAAAAAAAAACCAAAAAAAGGCTAAGCAGCAATTAGCCTCCTAAGTCCTAGCAGACAATAACAATCTTCAAGATGATGCAAACAAGGTAATAATAAAAATTCATCCAATAAGATAATGAAATTATATCCCTTAAACAACCAAATTCATTTAAATTTATATGATAAACAATCACGTAAGCGACTTTATCAAATCAATGCTGCCACGCCCTAAAGGGCAATGCTAAAGAGAGAAGGTACAACTGAACTTACTAAACGAAAACAAATTTGAATTCTTGAACCAAAGCCCCAATCAAAATAGGATATTTTAGCTTGAAACTCCCTCAAAGCACTCATGTAAAAAGTGGTTGGTGAAAAGATGGTTGCAAGACTCACTTATCATAAGGAAGCTTATTCTTCCTTCTATCGGTCGAATCCAGGCGCGAAGTACTACTACCACTACTATCCTTCTTCATCTGCTTCCTAATAGATTCTTTCAACTTCTGCCTCAACTCTAGGTACTCCATCTCTTCCTTTGAAGGCTTACGAGGCTCTTGTTCCTCTTCTTCATACTCTTCCTCACCCTCCTCTTCATACTCTTCTTGTCCCTCATCCTCATAATAATCGTCGTACTCCTGTAGTTCCATCAAATAGTAATTATTAAGAAACAATAAACCGGAATGCTAACTATGAAACCGGAACAAGTGAAACACAATGATTAAACAAATGAGAAATCTTGATTTAAACCCTAAAAAGTTGAGAATGCTTACATCTCTTTCATTATCATAACCCCGCATTGTTGTTTCCAGAAGAATCACCAATTGCAAGTATTTGACTGAATGATTATTCTGCTTGTGCCAATAACACAAAGAATGCGAATTATATGAGAAACAAAAGAACACCCAATACCCTTTACAGAAAACCACAATTTTTTTAAAAAAATTCATCCGCACCAATAAAATTAGGGTTACAACGAGAACAATTCGCCATAATTGAAAAATAAAACTTTAAAAAAATCGGTTTTTGATAGTTAACCGAATCCCCAATCACCAACATATCTACTTGCAAAATTGAAGGAATTACACGGCGAAAGAACCCCCGATATTTGATCGAGCGAGTACGAAAATAAAAACATAAAATTGAAGTGAAGGAAGAAAGGGAAATGGTGAAAGAGGAATAAGAGAGAGAGAGGGAACTTACAATGAATGATTGACGTACAGCGCGAATCGTTGATTGGGAAACCAGAAAGGAAGAAAGGGATCTGGAACTGCAAGACTAGCTCCTTTTAATTTGTTCGTCAGGTTGCAGAATTTTTTATTTTTTTCTTTTTCGGTGTTTAGATTAATATTGCAAAAATTTCCTTACAGTGGCCCAATCTTATCGTATATTTTTTAATTTCCGACACATTTCTTCGGTGGACTGCTTATGGGATCTGGAACCATGTCATTGCGACACCGTTTATTTAAGGGTGGTTTCGGAGCCAAATAGATATAAAGTACACTTTTTTAATTTTAAATTAATATTTCTCAAATTTTATAATTTTAAAATATGAAATAATAAATTAATATAAATTTAATGTATTATTTTTCTTCATTTTATTAATAATATATAATTTTTTATTTTGAAAATATTTTTTCTTTCTCCTTCAAAATTTAATTTTCAAATATATTTAAAGGAATTATATTTGCACTTGTACTTTTGTCTCTGATAGAAAAAAAATGATAAATATAGATAAATTAATATAGTTTTTAAATTTTTTATTTTAATATTTTCTTTCCAAGTTATTTTTTACTTTTATCTTTTAATTTTATTTTTTATTCTTTTATATATTTTTTTTATTTGATGTTATTGTCCCAACTTTATTTTGTATTTTTGTTTGATCTCTTAATTTTTATTTTTTAGTTTTCAAATTAGCTTCCTAACTTTATTTTAGAAAGTTAAATTAAAAAAATAAAATTTAAAGACCATATGAAGTTTATCCAAGATGGAATCATCCATCCAATTTTGGATAGCACTTGGGTCAGCTTGATTCAAGTGATTTTAAAGAAGTTTGAACTCATTATAGTGAAGAATGAGCTAATATCTACCAGAGTTTAGAATAGCTGAAAAGTCTGCATAGACTATAGAAGACTGAACCAAGCAGTAAGGAAGGATCGAAAAAGGAATCATAACTACAAAAGAAGATGGAGACAATAGTTTAACTATATCTGTTAGCAAATTTCAACTTACCAATGCAGGATGCCAAGCAAACTCAAACTATATCAATGAAGAGAACAAAGCATGTATAATATATATCACTCACACAAGCCAAATTGAAAGAGAGTAACAAAATCTCAAGCCTTGCCAAAATCACAAATAAGACAAACAAAATATCAGATCTTAAAAACTATGCAATAATGTAAGATTAACTTCTAGCTATTACAAAAAGAAATGATTCTACACAGCTTAAATAAAATATAAGAAGCTCAGTTAAAAGAACAACAAACCAATAGAGGGAAAACAAGGTAATAAATAATTTATCTCGATACAAAAACAACAACAAGCACCAATAAAATGAGAAATAAAACCACAATTCGCCCAATAAAATTAGGTTGGAAGCCAAAATCGAGATTTTATGTGGGATTAGAGAAGGGTGAAAGATTGTAACTCGTAAAATAATAACACGGATCATAAGATCCTACAAAATTGTATGAATACATATAAAATATTATAAATATAAAAAGGAAAGAAGCTAAACAAAGACAAACGAGGGAAGAAAACCACCCTTAACTCAAAATAGAAACAGGGACATGCCAGTTAAAAAAAGAGACAGAGAAGAGGAGAAGGAAAATATGGATTAAGTAATGTATTCTGATGGAAAGACTCTTTTATTTTTAAGAAAAACTTATAGCAGAATCATTTTAAGGACAAAAAGAGAAAGTTAAATTATTTTTAAAATATAAGAAATCTTTTTTACCCTTAAAAAAATCCTAAAATCTGCCTCATTCTGGGATAGAAAGGGTAAGTAGACAAGTTTTGCTCCAGCAGTATTGTTGCACTGTGAATTAGGCTACAACAATGGCTGCAAATATAACTACGATGGTTGCTATAGCAAAACGCTCAGCTATGACAAGGTCGCTGGAGTATATACAGTCCCCGATGTGAAAGCTATAGGGGTTGCAGAGCAAAGGAAAGGTTTAGGGATTATAGAACGAAATCAATTTACCGATTTTATGTTCTGGCACGACGATCCCACCCGATCTTGCTAAATCACGATCCTAGCACTGAGCTAGCACGGAGAAAGAGTTGGAGCATGATTTTACATTCCAGCATGCGATTTTGACTGTCATGCTTATGGCCTTTTATTTTTGGTAAATTATGTGTTATCCTAAATTTTGTACAGGAACGTATCTAAAAATTTAGATTCAAATTTTAAAAAAATTATTATATATAATTTATTTTAAATTATATTATTTGTTATATAATTTTTATTTTATTTTTTATAAACTTTTAGTATAATTTTTTTTATTTTTTAAATAAAATATAATTTATATTTAAACAATTTTTATTTATTATAAATAAAAAATAATTATAACATAATATATTAATTAAATAATTAAATATTAATAATAATAGAATTAAGAATATAAAAAATATATTAATATAATATTATTATTTATTTTTTAAATTTTAGTTAGTTTAATTTTGATTGTTTCTTATTTTTATTAAAAAATTTAACTATTTTTTAACTTGTTTAAATATAATAAATATAATAATTTATTATTAAATAAATTTAATATAAATTATATTTTATTTAAAACTTTAAATTTATTTAAAAATATAAAAAATAAAATAAGAAATATATAATAATAATAATAATAATAATAATAATAATAATAATAATAAGAGTATGTAAAAAATAATATAAGTAATATAACTTTAAATAATTATATATAATATATTTTTTTAACTTGATATGTGTCTCTTTTTTATTGATCTAAATTTTTTGAGTACGATACCTATAAAAAAGTTTTAAGTACCACAATACAAACTTTTATTTTTTACCTAGAAATAAGTGACAATCTTATGAATATGCAATTTTAAAACCCAAATAGACTTCTTATTTTTTCAGTTGTGTGAGATTTCTTTCCAATATTTATATTGGTGGAGTGTGCTGGGCTTGTGGATGTTAGGGTACTAACTATTAAATGTTTTATTTTATACTCTTGATTTCAGTGCATCGTGTGGGATAATGATATAAAAAGCACCAAACATACATTAAAGGAAATGATAATGCATTATTCTTCCTTAGAACTGCCTCAAAGGGAAGGTTGTGATCAAATTAGAGTCCACAGCAGATATAGCGTAAGTTTATTTTTCTTTGTTGCTTACCTCTATACTTGCAATATATATTAGGTGTTGACATTGAACAACATCTTAATGTTCAATAAGCAGTAGTCACATGTCTCTAGACTTAAAGTTTCTAATTACTTTATGTGACTTTTAATTGTGTATCATTTATAATCAAATAAAAAAAATTCTATGCACTAAATTTTTTGTAGAGACTACATGATTATGGAATTGTATCCCATCCAATCCGACTACAATGAGGATTGAGGAGAAGAAAATAGGCTTGAGGAGAAAGTGATCTATGAAGCTTTAGAAAGCCCAAGGATAGAATAGTGTATGTGAGGAAAATGAAAGAAATTAAGAAATGTTTGAGATGTGCTGAGTTGGCAAAGTTAGTTATGGAGAGGGAATAGTTTTTGTTCTTTTGGAAGTTGTAGGATAGAGTTGTCGTTTGACTTTCTATAAGGAGCATTGCTTTTGGGGGCATTATAAGAACCTTTCTTCTTCTGCATAGTTTCTTCTTTTTTTTTTCTGTTGCAAATAATCCAAACTTCTTTTGTTCTCTCTCAATATTGTTGTTTATGTCCTATATCATGTTATGTAATTTTTGGGCCTGTAACAAACTGCTATGCTTTCTCTGCTCCCACCCTCCTTGTCTTCACATGATATCTTTAGACATTCTTTGTGACAAAACAATAATAATAGTAATCATTACATATTTCCTTTGTGTCCAATATTGCAACATTTACCTAGCATTCCCTAAAATTATAGATGCATGTTAGACATGATTTTTTTGGCTGGCATGGTGGAAATACTTAAGAAGTGATGGAGAAGGATAAAGAAAAGGAGGAAAACCAACCTTTTTATTAGAAACTGCAAAAAAACCAAAGGAAAACTTCACGAGACCCAAGGAAATAAAGAAGATACTTGAGAGAGTAGTGCAGTCCTACAAAAAAGATTAGAGTTGAAGGCTCGATGATGCATTGTGGGCACAAAGGACTGCAGTCAAGACACCATTAGGCATGTCTCCATATAGGGTTGTCTATGGAAAAGCTTGCCATTTGCCAGTTGAAGTAGAACACAAGGCATATTAGGTAGTGAAAACTTGTAATTTGCACTACAATTTAGTTAGAGAGCAAAGGAAGTTGCAACTACAAGAATTAGATGAGCTACGTTTAAAGGCTTATGAGAACATAAGGATTTATAAAGAAAAGATCAAGATGTATCATGACAAAATGATATCAAGGAAAGAATTCTGCACTGGTCAAAAGGTCCTCTTATTCAACTCTCGCCTCAAACTCATGCCCAAAAAGCTTAGATCAAGGTGGATAGGTCCATTCACAGTCACAAAGGTATTCTCCCATATTGCAGTGGAAATCAAGAGCGACTTCATTAGCAAGAGCTTTATGGTAAATGGACACCGCTTGAAGCACTTCTTGCAAAATTCAACCCCCTTAGAGGTGGTTGAGGAGATTGACCTGCACACCCCTGGCACAAACCTTAACCATAACCTTTGTCCTGAATAATCTATTTCATACATCAAGCTAGTGATGTTAAAGAAGCGTTGTGTGAGAGACAACTCACAGATGTAAAAACAGTCCTTTACAATGCTTGAGATCTTCCCTTTTATAGGATTTGAAAACCCTAAAAACTCTTCATAATTTGGGCTTCCCGCAGATGAGCACAGCCGTGCAAGGCCTTAAGCACGACCTTGCATGGGCTCAAAGCACTCCCGTGCTTATTGAATGGGTCTGGGCGTGCTGATTGCTGCGAAGCTCTAATCTTTCATCAATTTGGGCTCAAAATGCACCCAAAATCTATTTGCAGCCTCTTTATACCAAACTGCACAATTAAAATAAAATAAAGGTTAAATATGAATATATGAGCAGTAGAAGAGCGTCTAATTACAGACTTATCAACTCCCCCCATACTTATCTATTTGCTTGTCCTCAATCAAAGTGCTGGTTAAGAGTAACATAATAACTTAAAACATAATACCACACAA